AGTCACACACTCAGATATAATGAATCTAGATCTGAATATCATCACTAAAGTGCTGAATCTTCTGAAAAAGAAATTCTCTGAGTGAAAATCTTAGTATTATGAGTATTGAGCTTGCTTCAACTGTGAATGCTAAAATCATAGTGTAAAAGATTACACACAGTATACATAGTTAAGAGAAGTAAGAGAGTTAAAAAACTAGTAGAATCAGTGAGCTTGAAGACACTCACTGATATTCTATAAAAAGTCTTTAAAGTGAAAGAGATGCTCATGTTAGAAGACTCTCTGAATTCTGCAAATATCAAGAGAAAGCAGACTTCTGACTGAGATGCAGGTGAGAATGAGACAGACACTCATCTCAATGTCTTAAGACCTGAAATGTTAATGTATAAGAGACACTTGAATAAGAATTAAGAGATGACTGTAAAAGTGTTAGCAGATATAGAAGCTTCTATATAATATATTAATAATTATATAATCTGAAGACTGAAAGAAGTCTACTGAGTGAAAGATTTCTGATATATAAGATTATTTAATAACTAATATTTGATATTACTTACAAGAGTAAGAGTTCTCTTGTACTTCAGAGAATAATCTTATTATATTTAAGTGTGAGAGCTGCAGAATGTGAAATATAATCTTAGTCTCAGACTCAATTGATTTTAAAGATTCAATCTGCAGATTCAATGACATACATGTCATATACAGTTGATTAATAGAAAGAAAATGATTCATACAATTCTATCAACTGATATGAGAAGAACATTTCACATCTCTGATATAGAAGAATTAGATCTGCTTATATATTAATAAGCAAAGAGAATGATTTATAAGATCTTATCTAAAAGCATTCTGTATGTCATATGAGATCTGAAAGTGAAGAAAATCAAGATAAAGAATATATGAGAGAATAAGTGTATGAAGAAGCTTCTGAAGAAGTATGAGAAGATCTTCTGAACAGATCTTTCACTGAAATTACTGCTGAAACAAGGATTTGTACATGAGATTGACACAGAGAATGTGAAACCAGTCAATCAGAATGCATACTCCCTGTCATAAACATATCTTAAAGAACAGAAGTGTCAGATCACAGACCTTCTAGAATGTGATCTCATATGATTCTCATCAAGCATGTGAGGCTTTTCAGTTCTATTTGTGAAAAAGATGAGTGAGAAGTGACAGATATGTATTGATTATCAAGCACTTAATAAGATTATAATCAAGAATGAATATTCACTGTCATAGATTCAATAACAGTTGAATATGATTGAAAACACCTGATATCTATTAAAGATCAATCTTCTCTCAGAATACTGACAGATCTGTATAGATAAACTATCAGTTCTGTGAACTGCATTTAATATGCAATGAGAGAAGTTCAAATTTCTGATAATGCTATTTAGTCTGATAAATGTGTCTGCTATCTTTCAAATAATAATGAATATAATTCTTCATAAACAGAATGAAATCTCATGTCTTATATATCTCAATAATATTCTAGTCTTTTCAAACTTGTATGATGAATATCTGAAGCATCTTAATGAAGTGCTTATAATTCTGACAGAGTATAAGCTCTATATCAAATTAATAAAGTGTGTATTTGAAATAGAAGAGTTGAAGTTTATAGAATATATAGTGAGTGATGACTGTATACATCTCATTCTGAAGAAATTGAATGTCATAGTGAATTGACCACAGCTGAGAAATATACATTATATATAACAGTGTCTTGAGTTAGTCTCATATTACTGCAGATTCATCAAGAATTTCACATGAATATCTAAATCACTCTCAGATCTTTTAAGAGAAATAGATATAAATCTGCAAAAGAAGAAGTTTTATTTAATTATCTGAAATATCACATGTGAACAGGCTTTTCTCACACTGAGAAAATGTGTAATAACATTTCCAGTGCTTATTCAATCAGATTGTGATAAACCTTTCTACATTGAGATGAATGCATTTGAATGAGCTATCAGAGATACTCTTCTACAGATGAGTAAGAATAACAAGCTACATCTGATGATGTATAATGATAGAAGACTATCAGACACTGAGCTTAATTACTCAGTGTATAAAAAGGAATTGCTAGTGATTAAGCACACACTGATGTTGTGAAATAGATATATCAATAACAGATATATAACAATAGTGATTATAGATTATAAAAGCCTTATCTATCTACAATTAATGATAAAATCTTTCAAATACTTAGTATATTGAATCTCAGAGTTTTAAGTGTATAATCTTCATATCAAATACTGAAAGAGATCAGACACTGTAATACCTGATGTAATCAGTCACAGATCTGATTTCATGAATGAGAATTCTGTGATCTAGATACAAGAGAAGTTCATGTTAAATGCACTGAGAGAATGTAAGAAATCAGAATGAGTGAACACAATACTCTCTCACTTGAAGAATGATAAGATATCAGATAATAAGTGTCTTATAAGAGTAGTAGAAGAGATGCTTCTGAACTTCAAGCTGAGAAAATTAAAAAATAATATTATACTTTATTATAATCTAGAATATGTAGAAGCTCTCTATCTAGAATCTTTATTTAGATATGACTTAGTAACTTATATGCATAAGAAACTCAGTCACTTAGAAAGCTCTGAACTCATGAATATACTTAAATCAAGAGTATACTGATCAAGCATGACTGAGAACATTCAGATATATACTTACAAGTGCCTGAATTGTCAGGTTGTGAAAGAATCTAAGAAAGAATTAGAATATGAGAAAGTGTAATATCAGATAAAGTATATAATATAACTGTTTAATCAATGAGAAGTGAATCTCATAGACATATTACTGCAAATATCAAATAAAAATCAATGAATAATTACTGCTATTAATTACACTACTGACTGATCAGTTACAAATGCAGTTTCAGAGATGATAGAGAAGATAATAACAAAGTTTCTATATAATAAGATCTATATCAACTATGAAATACTGTGTGAGATTCTAACTGATAACAGTGCAAACCTTGTAGAAGAAGTAGTGAGACATTTTATAAGTCAGTTACAGATAAGACATCATAGAACAACACTATATCATCTGTGAATGAATGAGAAGATGAAACACTTGAATGAAATCTTGAATAATATGCTGATGAAATATCTAGTGAGTAAGTCTACAAGACTATGAGATGAATATCTCAGACAGGCACTATTGATCACATGAATTTAACAGCATGCAGTCTTCAAGTGTTCACTATTCTACCTGTTGTATGGATTGCATCCGCGCATCCCAGAGAATGTTTCAGAAGAGAAGAGAGAGGGAACAGCAGTTGCAGATACAACAGTCACAGACATGAAATCAAGATTGAAAGAGATCAGCCACACACATGTAAAAGCTAATGAGTTACTTCTGAACTGAGCAATTCAATCAAAAAGAATATGAGACTCACTAGTTAAGGAATCAAGTCTCAAGATGAGAACATAAGTTCTCATACACAATGAGAGTTCTGAGAAGTTCCAATCTAGATGGTTTGAGTTATATAAAATACTCAAATCACATTCTTTAAGAATATACACATTGAAAGAATCAGAGAAACAGATCTTATACAACTTAATAAATAATTCATAACTAGTGAAAGCAAAGATGCAAGATCTGAGTGAATTATGATTATCTACAGCACTATTATTAGTATTGAAAAAGAAGAGACTTACAATTGAAAAGTCTTACAAAGTAAGAGAAATTATAGACACTTATAAACTAGATAATCTCACTTATTCTGATCTTTTCATAATTACAAGAAAAGAATGAGAGACAATGAAGAAATCAGATAAATATCCCACTTCAATAAGTAATGAGACTGTAGTCAGGTGTATGATAATGCACTGCAGCTAGTAGATGCAATATAGCAAAGAGCAGTCTCAAAGTAGCAGACTTGTATATGAGTCAGATTACAGAAGAAAAAGAGATTCAGAGTTAGATTTAACTGTTTATATCAGTTCAATCACAGAGATCACAGAGAATGAACTATCTGAAACATTCACAGATGTATGAGATCAAGTTATCTTAATCTCTGAGAATGCTCAGAGATCAGATGAGATTAGTTTCAATAAGCTGTTCACTGTAGTAATCTGAGTGAGTGAAGAGAGACAGTATAATATGCAAGACAGAATCACAAGATGAAAGCTGCTGAACCTAGTCACTGAATGCTATATTATATAGAGATTGTGTAAGAGTAGTGACTAGCAGACAAAGAAAAAGTGTAAGAAAAGAAAAGAAATAATGAATTGATTATTAACTGTAAGAGTTAGCTGTAAAAGACAAATATTATTATACATACTTCATTCATTTTTATATATCATATATTTAATCTATTTTCAACATCACATCATCTGAAAAAACATCAAAAACAAAGGAAATCTCAAAACTCAAGATCTGTAAGAAATTTGAGAACTGCAAGCCACTCTTGTAACAATGCTGTGTATATCTTCAATTTCTCTATCACTCTGTGTACAACATTAATGTGATTTATCACAAGATTAACTGAAATGTCAATATAGAAATGTATATGTGTATGCATAGAAAAATTGAAGAAGAGTGCAGAATCTGAAGGATCAGAAGTCAGGACAGAGAGAGCAGAGACAGAAGAAATGAAAGAAGAAGAAGACACAGAATCAAATGAATGATGATAAGAGTCATCTGAGATTAAATGCTTATAATCTGATAAGCGCACAATCTTCTCTGCAGAGAAGGAAGAGAAAGTGATGAGAGAAGCTTAAGAGTGAGAGAGAGTAGTCTCAGTGATGTTATCATCTTCAATTAGAATGATCTCTGACATCAGAGCAACTAAGAATCATTACTAATATATGAAAAACTGTAAAATCAGAGATGAGAACAGTTACTAAACAAACACTCACTGACCTTAGAGTTGTATGTGTAATTACAACACATATAAGGCTTCTCAGAAAGAGAGAGAGAGATACAGAGAAATGCAGAAAGCAGAACACAGTATACAAACAGCTTATTCTCACAATGACATTTTAAACAAGATGTATAAGTCTCATATCTGTGAGTGTAAAAGAGTATAATATCTGCATTCTCATTTCTGAAAATATGAATATCTTTTGTCTGTATTACAAAGTCAGATGACAGACATCAGAGAATAGACTGATATGAATCTATCATTTTGAAGAAATTTGTCAGAGCAGATATTCCTATAATATTGAACTTTACAGTTATAAAAAGTTTCTTGATATCTGTGAACATCATGACTTTGTGTATAATAAAACTCATAACAATTTTCTCTAAGAACAGAAAAATCAGTGTTAGAAAGAAAAGATGAAAAAGAAAAAGACTTATAATTTTAACACTGTTAAGAGAGAGAGTGATTCTCTGATATGAATGAATAATTGTCTCATCATGAATATTTTAAATGAATGTAATAATCAGTGTCTGTGACCAAGCTTCAGATAGTTGTATTATACACTGTCTTTATATAATAAATTATTCTAGAGATTAGTAAGAAGAGTGAGAGTGTATATACTGTGTAATATAATTTACTGAGTCTATACAACATCTTCTTGAAATGAGAAGAGCTAGTAATGAAGACAGTGACAGAAGCAGAAGTAGTAAGAGTAAGAGTCATAGAAACAGAGATAGTGAGAATGAGAGAATCAGACACAGAGACAAGTGTAGAAGATTGAGAAAGAGCAGCAGAGAAAGAAACAGAAAAGAAAGCAGCAGAGAAAGAAGTAGCAGAAGAGATAGAAAGAGATGCAGAAGACTCAGCTATACATGATACAGACAATTTCTTTATTATTACATTCTTCAAGTTCTCAATCAATGATTCAATATTGAGTTCACTATCATCAGCAGATGCAGATCTGTCAATGTATGAAGATTCTATATGAATAAAAACAAATATATCAGCATCTGTATTCACATAAAATTATGTCAGCAAACATGATCAGAAGCCTGCTGAGAAGAAAAAAACAGTCAAGAATGTATGAGAAGATAGAGAAGATATGTCATTCATGATAATATATTCTGACAATTGTCAGAAGAAAAACAAGTTCTGATCATATTTCACAATGTGTTATACTTACTGCTAATGAACTGCCTGATATGAGCACTATAATGATACTTGTTATAAGAACAGAGAGTCATTGTCAGAAATGTGTACAATGTAATAGATGAACAGATAGAAAGAGTTGAACAGAAAAAGAAGTAGAAATCTTGAATGAGATGATGATGTTCAATAATAATGATGATAAAGAAGATGATTGAAGAATGAGAAAAGTTAGTGAATAAGAAGTGTAATATAGTGAAAGTTTCTTTATAAGAGTGTACACAGAACACTAGCTGAATCAGGAATAGGTCACATGATCACAAAACACTAGTGGTGAGCTAATCCGCATGAAGCTAGAATATATGACATGATCACATGAGTGTGACTGAATCTGGTGAGAGAGAATGTGATTCAGAAGAATATATAATCATTGAATAATAACGCGGCCGCTTCTGAACTTGCTTATGAATGTAAAGGGGCCATAGCGGCCACCAATTAATTTAGTGTACAGTATATAAGAAGCCAGCGTACGCCTGTAATCGTACGCTGACTCAAGCAATTCTTGAATCACAATAACATCTCTGTTGATTCTGCAACTGAGAGAACTGAGTTTGTTAAGAAGATTGAGACTATCATCTTAAAGATTGAGAGTGATTATATTAACTTACAGAATGTTTACTATATTTCTAATATTACAGTTAACCTGCTCTCATTTAGAACGCTTGAAGATCAGAGATTCTGATTTATATTATCTTTCACTATTCTCTCATTTTTCATTTGCAGAGCTCTGAATGATGTTATTTATCATGCAGTTCAGACTGCTTAGAATAATATATATAGAGTCACTGAATAAGAGTTCAATGAGAATTCTAATCATTTAAATGAGACAGTCAAGTATATTGTGATGATGCTTCATAAATATGATTTTGACTGAAAAGTTATTCTCTCTATGACTGCTACTACTACTGTTAGTAACATTGATTCTGCAGTTCTGAATACAGGTCTTAAGAATATAAGAATATCAAAGACTCTTTTGAACTGACACTGTGATCTCAGTCACATTCATACTAATGCTATAATTGCTATGATCAAGAATTCTCATACTGAAGTCACAATTAAAGATTCTAAGACTAAGTTCTTTTGTGAGAAATGTGTCAAGGCAGGTATAATGCAAGATTATTTGAAAACACTGATGTCTAGATCTATTTAACTCATTGAGAAGATTTATATTAATCTTGTAAGTAATGAATGTACATTGAAAGACCTCTCTGATCATCTCTTAGAGTCTTATTAGAGAATTAAATACTGAATACTTATCATCTGTGATGTGACTTGGTATCATTGAGTATATTTTTTAAAGTTCAAGAATGAGACTGTTCAGTACTTTGAGTTGTGACTCACATTCATGAGTAATCTCAGGTATACAGTCTCTGCTTTTCTATGAACTTATATTGATGATGTTTTTCAATTCACATGTATACACACAGTTATGTATTCATATAATATCAAATAAGAATCAATAATATCACATTCATCACATCAGAATGATGTTTCTGAATGTGAAATTCACACTATTATAAGACAGATTAGAGCTGCTCTTGTGAAAAGATAATCTCTCTAAGAAGTTCTAAGCAGATGTTCTAGAGACAGTGATTGTAATAATTAATAATACTCTCACATCTACAGTTCTTTACAACTCAAAATTTTGATTCTCTACTGCAGAGACTTCTGTGATTCCAAGTTTATATAAGATTTCTTAGTATACACTTACAAACATCTCACTGAATGTGAGGCATTTTCACTGATTGAGTGCAGAGGTTTTTATTTACTTGTTTGAATCTCAGAAGCCTGCAGATAAGCTCTCTTTATATACTGATTTCTATCATATTATTGAATTCAGTGGCATATCAATCTATCATTCATGATATTCTGAATCTGATAAGATTATTGTTAGTAGTAATGTGAGATTTCTGATCAATGAAAAATCAGAACTGATTATTATATCTGTAGCACTTATTAATCATGTCACTGAACTGAAACCTAATATTTATCTGATTGATGATAAAGATGCTTCTGATATTGATAATCTAAATTCTACATGATTACAGCCTGCAAAATCACTGACTACTTATACTTCAAGCTCTATTATAGATAACCTTCTGAAGTTCTACAAGAATGTCACATCTCAGTCAGAGAAAGTAGAAGATTATTGAAAGAAGTTCATATAACATGAGATTATCAATCTGAAGAGATATAATATATGAAGTTTAATTTCTGAATCTGATATCTCAAGAGATGAATTAATTGCTTCAGACTGATAAGTGTTTCTTAAGAAAGATAGACATGTAGATCTGAATGCTAATTCTAATAATATTCTTAGAAAATTATATTGAGTGATTTATAATAACTGACTTAAGAAGAATTCTAGAGAAGAGATCTATGCTTCTGTTATCACTGATACTACTAATTTTATTTTATTTACAATAGCAGTACTATACAGTTGAACACTTTATTAAGTGAATATTGTAATGATATATCTGCATGAGTATCTCACTAAGAAGGTCTATATAAGACAATTCACTGAATTGAGAACAGATTCACTGAAAATACTTATCTGTGTGATTGAGAGTAGTCTATACAGTCTGAACTCTGTGATGAAGATCTAGTATAATTACTTAACAGCTCTGCTAAGTGATCTTGAATTTGCAGTCAGTGTCTATGATTCAGTACTCTGATATTATACATTTAGATATCATCTCTATATAATGATCTATGTTGACAATTTTAATATCATATCTGAAGTTTCTGAGAATGCTGATTAGCTAGTAAGTATACTTAGTGAGAAATTAAAAGTCAAGAATCTATATCAATTAATTAAGTATTTAAGTATAAAAGTCAATTGTTCTGACAAAGAGATTGATTTGATATATTATTAATATATTAAATATCTTATTAAAGATTTCTATCTTGATAATTCAGCTATTGTCAAAACACTGATGAAGAATGAATTTCATATTAAAAATTTCTCAATATCTGAGAAAGAGACTGATTTCACAATTCAGTGATATTAATATAATGTAAGTTACTTGTAATATCTTGTAGTTAAATCATATTCTAATATCACTTACACTGTCTTACTACTCACTCAATGAAATATTGATTCAACATCTCAATATTGAAAGACTCTGTTATATATTATACATTTTTTAAAAGAGATTATGAATCTGAACATTTTCTACAGACACAGCTTATATAAGAGATTTATTTCTATCAATTCTTCTGTTCTTCTCAATTTCTCTAATGATTTCTATCTATTCTTCAGCTACTCAGATTCTGATTGAGTCAGTCTCTTGAATACTGATAGAAAATCAACATTCAGCTATGTTTTTAAGCTTACAGACAGCCTGATTTTATGATAATCAGTGAAGCAATCTTGTATATCTCTAAGTTTTAATAAGACTGAATATATGACTCTGAGTAAGGCACTTCATGAAGCAACATGAATTCAGAATCTCATAATTGAGCTTAACTTCATTATCACATCTTTAATACAGATTCTCACTGATAATAAGAGTGTTATAAATCTTACAAAGATAGCAGTCATTATAATCTGAAGTAAGCACATTGACACATATTTTCATTTTTCATGTTGACAGTTGAATCAGAAGATTATTAATTTAGAATATATTCTCACTACTCAGATAATAACAGATGAACTCACTAAATCTCTAGACACTGTGATATTTGTATAATTCATGATTTTACTAGGTCTTACAGATGTAAAAGTTGGGAATGCTTAATTTTACATTTGTATTTGATTTTGACAGACTATCTTAATGAATTGAGTGTTTTTGTATATGATTCTTGTTATCTCAAGAGAGGGTGTTGGCCGTTACAGCTGTTGCAGTTAGCAATTCCACTAGATTACATGACTTATCATCATATTATGTTCTTGTAGATAGATCTATTAATACAATCTTCAACTATTTTACATATACTCACAAGCATCAAACGCTCGCTTACGCTCGCTTTGCTGCTTGCGCAGCCCCCTCTATCACTTTCACCCTCTCTACATCTACCCCTCTTACCACTCCTTCCACCCCCTACCCCTTTACCACAACCACCGCTCTACCGCCCGCAGCCCCTCTAGCAATTTCACTCTCTATATCTATTCTTCTTCTTACACCCTTTCACCCCTTCTACCCCCTTCATCCCTACCCCTCTATCATCATCATCTCTACGCCCCGCAGTTCTATCTACCCTCTCTTACTCTCTCTATCACCCCGTTTACTCTCTACCCTCTTTACCGTCATCACTGCCTCTACCGCCCCGCAGCTCTCTCTTTCACTCTTTACCTCTACCTCTCTATCTCTACCTCTGTAACCTCTCTATCTCTCTCTTACCACTCCGATCACTTCTATCACTCTTATCACTCTCTTTCACTTTGTATCATCTTCATCACTATTATTCAATTAATCAGAGCTGTACAGGCTGCAGAGTCAGCTGTTCAATCTCATCTGAATTTAAAGAAGTGCACTGTGCATATGACATCACATGAGATCATGTTACAGAGTATTTGACAAAATGAATATTATGAAGAATGTAAATACTGTAGACAATATATAAAAGAAGTAGAATGAAAAAAAGAATGAAGATTTGAAGATTGATCTGAGCTGTATGAGTCAGAGCATTCAAATATTTTTAATAGAATACACATGATATTATATTACAGTGTGTTTTGCATGGAAAAGTTAGTATTTTTATAATAAATACAGTATATTAATGAATGTATAAATTGTAATAAATGTAGAGAAGAGTCTAAAGAATGTAAATA